GATAATGAACATGAGCTAAACTCTACGGACAGGCCTGTGGGTAACCCCTTCACATATAGGCACACGGGTTAAACACACACACATGTGCACACAGCAACCCTGGGAGCGGGGCCCTATTGCTCCATTATTTACAGATGACAGAACAGGGCTTTTTGGAGGTATCTGCCCCAAGCCACACAGCTAGTAAGCCGCCTGAAGTAAGAAATACAAAAAGCAGAGCTGGGCGCAGTGGCTCACACCTATAATCCCAGCGCTTTGAAAAGCCAAGGTGGGAGATTTAGCTTGAGCCCAGGAGTCTGAGACCAGACTACACAACAAAGTGAGACCCCATCTCTACAAAACATAAGATTAGCAGGGTGTGGTGGCACGCACCTGTAGTCCCAGCTACTCTGGAGGCTGGAAGGAGAGGCTTGCCGGAGCTCAGGACATGGAGGCCACAGTAAGCTCTGATTGTGCTACCGTATTCCCAAAAAAAGAAACATAGAAAGCAATATACCCTAGAAACACTCCACTGCCTATAGCGTTCCATGATCGATTCTTAATTCAATAGGGAACAGATGTTCAGTTAGAACACTCAAAAACATTTTTCTTTCAAAAGGACTCTTTTTATTAGATTCAAAAAAAAAAATTCACACAATTTTATCTGCAGAATAATTGCAACCTTCTTCAAACTAACTACAATTTCTGGATTAAAAAGACACAATATCAAATCATGACAAATATATTAATCTAATGATATAAAACCGAAACTTTAAAAATTTCACTCTAAACAGAAAACCTTCAGCCAGGCACAGTGGCTCGTGCCTATAATCCTAGCATTTTGGGAGGCCGAAGTGAGAGGACCCTGCTTGAGGCCCGCCTGCGCAACAGCAAAAGGCTCTGTTTCTACAAATGTAGAAACTACGGCCAGGTGCGGTGGCTCACGCCTGTAATCCCAGCACTTTGGGAGACTGAGGAGGACAAATCACAAGGTCAGGAGTTTGAGACCGGCCTGGGCAACATGGTGAAACCCCGTCTCTACTAAAAATACAAAAAATTAGCTGGGTGTAGTGTAATCCCAGCTACTTGGGAGGCTGAGGCAGGAGAATCATTTGAACCTGGGAGGCGGAGGTTGCAGTAAGCCAAGATCGCGTCACTGCACTCTGGCCTGGGCGACAGAACAAGACTCTGTCTTGAAGAAAAGTTTAAAAAAAAAACATAAAAAATAAAACTAGCCAGGCGTTGCGGTGACATGTGCCTGTAGTCCCAGCTACTTGGGACGCTGAGGTGGAAGGAACACTTGAGCCCAGGAGTTCGAGGCTGTAGTGAGCAGTGATTGTGCCATTGCGCTCCAGCCCAGGTGACAGAGCAGGATCCTGCCCGCAGAAAAACCCTTCAAGGCTCCAGCCATCTTGATGCTCACCTCCTGATGTCCCTATGGCTTCTCCCACCTGTCAGCCACCACATAGCACCCCTCCCCGGCCACCTCCCCATCAGAGCCCGCCTTTTCCCTCCTGGACTAGAGCTTTTTCCAGTCATATCGGGGAAGGGCCAGTCTAGAAGGTGAAATCTCCGACTGGAAACGAAACCTTACTCCCCACCAAACCCGCCTAGTCCTACATGTGGAACATGTTAGACATTCATCAGACACCGGGGAACCTTTCCTCCTTTCCCAGAACAAAGGGGGACGTGGGCATTTCCACCCACACTGTGCCCTGGAAGGCATGAGGCCATGAGGATCGCAGCCGCATCTGTAGGGAAGAGGACACCGGCCTCCTGGTAAGCCAGGCTGTCCTACCCTATGGGAGAAAGTTCTAAGCAAGCCTCGTCTCTAGACATGCAACATTTCGACGTCATCTCCATGGCAGGTGTCAATCTGTTACTTGGTTAGTTATCAATCCGGCAGTTCGGCCAGAGGAAGCAACCAGTGTCAGGGCCATGGTGGCTCCTCAAGCAAATGGTGGCCCAGTGTTCCTTCGGGGCACAGGCCAGGCGCTCAGCCGAGGCTCCACACACATGCTGTCACAGCTTTCCACACACATACATGTGCTGTCACAGCCCCACACACACCTGCCCCTTGTTGGGAACCCCCCTCCTACACACCCAGCACACTCCAGCCACAGCCCCCAGCTCCCACCATCACCCTGGCTTTATGTGGCTTCAAAATTTCCAGCAGGAAGGCTGGGTGTGGTGGCTCACGCCTGTAATCCTAGCACTTTGGGAGGCCGAGGCAGGCGGATCACCTGAGGTCAGGAGTTCGAGATCACCCTGGCAAACAGGGCAAAGCTCTATCTCTACTAAAAATATAAAAATTAGCCAGGCGTGGTGGCATGCGCCTGTAATCCCAGCTACTTGGGAGGCTGAGGCAGGAGGATGGCTTGAACCCGGGAGGCGGAGGTCACAGTGAGCCGAGATCACACCACTGCACTCCAGGTTGGACAACAGAGCGAGGAGTCTGAGACCAAACTCTTATGTTTTGTAGAGATGGGGTCTCACTTTGTTGTCTAGTCTGGTATCAGGCTCTTGCCTCAAAAAAAAAAAAAAATTCCAGCAGGAGGCTCTGACTGCTGGCACAAGTGAAGCGGGTCTTGCCTTGGACTCCCCATGCAGGTTGGCCCTCAGATGGGAAAGTGCACAGGCCGGCAGGGCAGGAGCCTACACCCAGCTCCCGCCTCCTCGCCTCACTAGGACCGCATGCCGGAGTGAGACCCTCCTTACTCCAGCGAAAGACGAGGAAGTGGGCACCACCCTATGTCCGCTGGCAGTGGCAGGCTCGGGGCCAAGCAGGCAGTGACCTTCCATCCTCTGCCTCCCCTTCTCGGTGAGTTCGACCCCTTCTCCAGGAAGACAGAGTCTAAAAACGTGTCCCGAGAAGAAATGCCCCAAGTGGCAGGTAACAACCAGGCTGCCGCCTCCCCAAGCCTCTTCTACTTAGTGGGACCAGAAGGAGATAAAAACGCCAAGTTTAAGGCCGGGTACCTTTGAGTGATCGATGTGCAATTCGACCCAAAGCCAAGACACAGGGACGGGGCTCAGTGCAGCACAACCGGAATTTATCAGCCGAGCATAAGGGACAGATGGGGAGGCCGGAGGGGGACACACTCCTCCTCCACTGTCACCAGGAGTTGGGGACTTTTGAGGAACACCCTGGAATCCAGGCCTCTTAGGAATCTCATTCTCTGGCTGATTACACTCATATATTTGTTTTCCGTGGCCTCAGAGAGTTGGCCTTGAACCTCTAAGATTTTTTTTTTATTCATAAAATGTTTCCTTTTTAATTTTTACTTCTTATAACGAGATGAGTCTTGTTATGTTGCCCAGGCTAGTCTCGAACTCTTGACCCCAAGTGATCATCCGTCTCGACCTTCCAAAGTGCTGAAATTACAGGCGTGAGCCCAGCCAAACCTCTAAGATTCTCTGTGGAAACCTCCAGACATGTGGTCACCGAGGAAAGGGGAGTGACAGTACAGGATGGCAGACAACCACTAGCTACAGGAATGGCCCTAAGAGGAGCCTGCGAGATGGATGTGGCGGGGATTGGCCTGGGGAAACTGAGCCAAGGAAAAGCGCTCAGGAAAGCCCACAACTAGAGCTTCCAGTAAAGTCTGCTCTGAAGCTTCTGGGGACAACAGAAGAAGGACATTTTGCCACCAGCTCTCTTTTTCCTCCTGTTTTTACTCATGGCAAGGCTGACATGGAGAATAGGGCCCCTCAATCCCCAACATGGGCAGAGAAGGCAGCAACCCCCAAGCACCAGTGACTCCAACCTACATTTTTGGTCTCCTGAAACACAAAACACCCACATTTAGGGGCAGGCCGAGGCGAGCAGCAAGTGTGAGATTTGAACCCTCAGCTGGCTCTGTGGCCAAGGCCTGCCTTCTTTCCACTCTGCTACCAAGCTTTCTTCCAAAATATTTATTCTGAAGACAGAAAGTTATTAATTTGTTTTCCATAATGATTCACGCCAGCACTCCCTTGACTAGCAGGCCTCCTTTGAAACATTTTAAATGAGTCTGCTTTTTAAAATGCAATTCACATGTAATTTCCCAGCCATACTGTATAAGAGAGGGGCATCTCTCCCAGAAAGGACCTTTGCCTCCAGGCCTGTTCCTACGTCCTATATGGAGGAGCCAAGAGCTGCAGAGAAGATTCTCCAAGCCTGGAAGCTGGGACGAAGCTGTGGGCTGATGTGACCCCTTCCCATACAAGGGGAAGATGCAGGAGAGGCTGGGGTCTGAGGCCATGCCATGGGGACCAATCTGGCAGATGTCACCCCGAAAGCCATTCCCACAACTGCTTGTGTACCTGCAACACTCTTGGGCCGTTTTTTTTCTTACTAAGCCCTTAATAGGGGTCGCAGGGAAGGAACAAGAGGCCCAGTAAACAAGCAGAAAGATACCACCCTGGCAAGTCAACACTGTCCCCGCGATGCACACTCATGAGAGAAAATATAGGACATGTAAAAAGCACATTTCTACTGCCCTTTACGGAGTATTTCAAGAAACAGAGAGGCATTTAAAAGTCCTAGCAGGCGAAATGTCTGCTTTACAAGAAATGTTAGGCGCGTTGCTATGCCCAGATGCACGCAGCCTTCAGACACTCCGCCTGCCCCGGCACAGGGGAAGCAGGCCCCGACGACCTTCCACCCCACAGGATCCCTTATGGACTTTGGTGGCGTGCTAACCAACACAGGACAGGGGCTGGGACGGATTCAAGGGGCTGAGACACCCACACACCTGCCCATGTGTTCTTACAGACCCAGCCTGTCCAGTATCTGCACCTTGAATTAGCTCCTGCTTTCCACATTTCCAGACAACCCATCAACTGCCACATCCCTACGGCCTGCAGGGTGGCATGCACGTTCTGCTGGAAATGGGGCTGAAGACGTCAGAGGAAAGAAACGGGTTGCCCACCAGCTGCGCATTCGTCTGATGAAAATGAAACGCTCACGGCGCATCACCTGAATATGCACCAGCATCCTAAGACCCCTTCCGAGCGATCACGATGGTCACCCGTCTCACCTCTGGAGTGTTCTTCTTGAACTCTCGGCTCTGTTCGATAAGCCGCTTTCTGGACTGCTCGCTTTCATCCTGCCGGTTCGCCAATACCGTTGCGGTGGCATCGAGTTCCCTCTGTCGGGGAAACAGAAAAGGAAAAGCGAGATTGGCATCGCGCTGTGCACCGGAGGAGGGTCCTATTTGCATTTGACCAGAACACTGCGGGAGAGACCCCGGTGGCTCTAGGTATTGTGGACTCATCGGCAGAGGAGGTGCTGGAGGGCGGCGGGAAAGTGGCAAAATGAACATAACCCACCCGTCCCACGTCCATCCCACGTGCCGTGGTTGAGAAAACCAAGCTCGTTCAACGTCATGCGTCGTGCATCAATGTGCACGCCATAAATGACTCTGTTCCTGAAATAGAAGACACAGAAACACCTTTCTCGCTCCAGCGAAACTACCAGGCCAATGGCCAAAGGACCTGCTGCCCCCAAGCTGCTCCACACCTATTCTTCCCAAGGGTCCCTTCCAGCCACTCTCCTGAGCTCCTGGCCTTCTGCTAAGCCAGCCCCTCCTCGCGGGATTCCGTGTGGCTGTCCTTCAACACTGTGGGTCTGGGATCTCTGGAAGTAATACTTGGTTTGTGTTCATTCAACAGATATTTACGGTGAGCTCACTCTAGGCCAAGCATCATGTTCAAGGCCATTAACCTATGATTAGTTTTCAAGGGGGACCTTTAAAAGGTAAATTCCAAGAATAATTATTTCCAGTATCGGGTACACTTTTCGGAAATGAGGCGCCAGGTGTTGGTGGTTATTCTCGAATCGCATTGCTTGCGTGGGAACGCTGAGGACCACCAGGAGTGGGTCCCCCATGAGGGACCTGCCGGGGGGCTGAGGGCTCTGGGCTCTGCTCCCCGCAACAAACTGATCATCGACGCGCGAGCGAACCTGTGCCCTGGCCTCACAAATTCTGGGAAGAGCTGCCAAGAGGATCTGTTTCAAACAAGCCTGCAGCAGATGGCCCCAGAAGGGTGTTCCAGGCTGACAGCAGGAGCCCAAGGACACATTGCTGTCGCCACCAAAAGGCCTGTTTTCCTGCCGAGTCACTTCGGCGACTGAAGACACACAGCGGCCCATTCTGCTGGGATCCAAGGTGGCTGCTCCAGCTGGCTTTTCAACGGTGGGGACCATCACCCTGCGTCCGAGCAGAGCAAGGACCTGACATTTCAGAGGCTGAACAGCGAGAAAAATCAAAGCTCAAGATTTATCCCCAGGCCTCCAAGAAGCATACGACAGCCTCTCCTTCTCCACCCCGGCCACTCATCTCAGGAGTCTCACCGGCTTTCCTCCTTGGCGGAAGTAAACCAGCAAACCTATAAGCTCCTGCTGGGAAATGCTTCCTTGGTACCACTACGGGGTGGGCCATGCTGGATGGGATGATAGCGTCTATTGCTGACAACGTAGAAATCACAGACAGGCTGAGGGCAGTGGCTCACGTCGGTAATCCCAACACTTTGGGAGGCTGAGAAGGGTGGATCACCTGAGGTCAGGAGTTGGAGACCAGCCTGGCCAACATGGCGAAGCCCCGTCTGTACTAAAAACACAAAAATGAGCCAAGCATGGTGGCACATGCCTGTAATCCCAACTATTTGGGAGGCTGAGGCAGGAGAATCGCTTGAACCTGGGAGGTGGAGGTTGCAGTGAGCCAAGATGGTGCCACTGCACTTCAGCCTGGCAACAGGGCGAGATGTTTCAAAAAAAGAAAGAAGAGAATGAGAAAGAAGAGAAGAGAAGAGAAGAAGTCGTAGACACTTTAAAAAGGGGGGGAGGAAAGAAAACACACACACATACACACACCAATAAAACAACAAATCAGGCAATGAGGGGAAGATACCAGCACGCCACACTCTTCTCCCCTTAGTATTTCTGGCATTCAGGCACATCTTGGGCAAACAAGTCCTAAGGAATAACGTGGGCTAGAATTCAAGAACAGATGTCAAAGCTATTGCAGAAAAAAGGGAAACAGTGAACATTTTGATAGACCACATTTGAAACACATCCCAGTTAAGGGAAGGCAGGGAAAAAAAAAAAAAGAGCAACCAAAACCAATGTGGTGGAACGGGGGATACAGATAAGAGAGGAGCAGTCACAGCGAAGCAGAAGGCTCTTCAAAAATATAAACAATCTGGAGGGAGGAGGGCTTCGACATCTATATTTAAGCAGCAGCAGCCGAAGTTATAAAAGGAGCCTTCGAAAGAAGGCGGGGAAGAAAGCCAATATTGAAATATGACAAAAAAGAAAAAAAAAGAGTTGATGTTTCATTCCAATCGCACACAGACACAGAAAACTTAAGAGAAAAACAAAAAGAACATGGATTGCTTTCAGCCGGAGGGGGGTCCCTACTTCCCGCACTGCATGGAAGCCTGGTGGGACAGGGGCGCTGGGGGCGGTTACCCAATCAGTGGGTGTCTACTGATGTCTTGGAGCCAACAGGCACTGGAGGTGCGAAGGGGACTATGGGGTCCCAGCCCCAATCCCCAGCTTCTCATGTAGTGGGTCAAGTGTGGGAAATGTTGTGGAGGACGCCAGATGAGCAGGGGGTCTGTCGGCCCCTCTGTCCCCCTGGGTCCCCACCTGTCCCTCCCTGGGTTGATCTGTTAGGGAGCCTGCCTGCGGGAGGAGGGAGCTAAAACAGATGGCCCCGGTGCAAGGTGAACCCACCAAGATCCCGGGGCTGCAGAGCCAGTGTGCCTGCAGTAACTTGCTGCTGGCAGTCGGGGACTCGACAGGGGTCTGCCGCACTCCCTTCCCCGAGCCTGCAGACATACGCAGGTTGGCATGGGAAACCCACGGGGGTCTCCAAATTTAACACCGAACCGCCACCCGCCACCACGGAAACAGATTGGCACAGCGAGGAGGAGACGCTGAGCCACAGATAAGGTTGATCAGATGTAAGGCTTGAAATCTTTGACCGGGTCCCTTGCAGAAAAAATTTTTAAAAACAACAACAACAACAACAACAACAACACACACACACACACACACACACACACACACACACACAAAACAGCACCACCAAATCCTTTCTGAACGACGCTAAGGCGTTCTCGGGCTGTGGGAGGAGACAGCGATTAAACATAAGCCAAATACTGTTTTATTATCTACCAAGCCTGCCTATCCTCAAAGTGTCAACTACAGTGACACATTAACAAGGGAATGAAATGCATGTTGGGGAGGTGGAGGTAGGGGTCCCAAATGCAGCGACCTCGGCCCATGAGTCACGGGTCACATGTGAGAAGGCGTAGAGAGTCGTCACATCTGAAAGGCATTAAAAAGTCATGAAGAGCAAAAAACCTGCACCCAACCTCCTCCACGCCCAGTGATACCCTGTCAGCATAACCCCTCACGGATTTTTCGGTGTATTGTATGGGACACGATGATCATCAGATACATCCAAGCCAAAAAGCAAACCGCAACACATTGTTGAAAAGAATATCCATCCATATGCTCGATAGGCTGTGATTATCTCCAGAGAGATACAGAAGAAACTTGTGACCGTGCTTGGCTCTCTGGAGGGGTGGGTCGGGTGAGCGACTTAATCCACAGTGTGTATCTTTGGACTGTCTTGCCATATGCATGCATCATCTAGCTGGGAAAACTGCAGCATCTATTAATTTTTATAATCCTGCTAAATGGGAACGAGTGCATACACAAATGGTGACGGGAATAATACCTTACGTAACGCATAACATGGGACACGTGAGCCTCTGCGTTAGGGTCTGCCTGTCCACCTGCAGGGGCAGAGGCCTGGAATTGACGGCCTCGTGGGTCTGGTGATGCAAGAAGTGAGGCAAGTATGTCCTTTGTCAAAACAACAGCTGTTTCTTGCACAATATGCTGCCCAGTGGCTGGTCTCAGGGTGTATGGAGGAGGGGGGGGTGGTGGTGACGGTGGCCACTGCTGGTCACAGAAAACACCACCCAGCCAAGCCAGAACTCTCCCAAGGAAGGCAGAGGAGGGCATCTATGCAGAACTATCTAGAACTCCTCTCCAGCTAGAAACACCTGTGGGCCCCCAGTCCCAGGTCCCAGGCCATGGGAAACTGGCACTTCCAACCAGGCTGAAAGAGACAGAAACTTTACTGAGAAAGTGTCTGGCAAGGAGAGGCACCTGAACGCAGAAAATGCGTATCTTTCCAAGAGATCACGGGATGACTGACGTCAGAAGCAATGAGGACCCACATGGGTCAGGTTTCAGTCTCTCCCAGTCGGCCCCTTGGCAGCCATGTGGCCCAGTCCACCTCACACCCCCAGCACTCACTGGACGGCAACTATCCCTCACTCAAGTCAATGCGCTGAGCTGACCGAGAGTTCCCCAAATGCAGACTCAACAAGTGGGTGTCACTAATGGGAGCTCCGCCCTTGCTCAGAGGAACTTCAGAGCCCAAGGCCAAGGCTCAGGTCATCAACTAGATGGCCAGGCCAAGGCTCAGGTCGGCCACTGGAGGGCCAGGCCAAGGCTCAGATCATCCACTGGGGGGCCAGGCCAAGGCTCAGGTC